GTAAATGAATGAGGCACATATATTTTGGCAATATTAATTTAAATATACTTCGTAAATTGTTTTCTGAGAGCCTATGGATCTAATAAAAACATCCCACCAAAAAATTAAAAAAAAAATTAGCCCACTTAATTCTACCCAGTCTTTTTATAAATTATATAGTGGTAGTTTTAAAAATAACAGCACAACTGGGTACTCACTGATTATTCAGAAGTTGATTGTCCAGATAGTAACCATACTTTGCTTTTCCGTTTGTCCTTTGGCTATTTTCCTTGCTTTTTAGCAAGTAGATAATCCACGAATCCCTTCACACCCATTTTCTGATCCATAAAATTGTTGATAGGTGCTTCACCAAAATTGTACAAAAGGGATTTGGATTTATCTGCTTAATTGTCCACATTGTTTTTTGCTTTATCACTCTGAGCAATAGGCATTAGTTCAGGAGCCATCTGATTAATGTTGCTGATAGACTAAAACCATTTATTGTTTTTATAAAGTCTTTAAGGCAACTTTGAGATACTAACTTTCCTTTACATTTTTTTTTCTTGAGAAAAGTTTTTGTCCACTGGAAGATTTAGTCATCTTTGGATGCCTCCACAAAGTTTGTTTTTCTCTGCATATGAACGAAACAGCATTATGAGTAAGGTATAGACTTTAAGCATCTGAAACTGATTGTGATCAAAGGAGGAACAGGACCTGTTTGGTTTGGACCCCTTCTGTAACATCAGGGCTTGTAGGCTCCAGATTTCTTGGCCTTGAGAAAAAGTTGAAAAGGTAAATGAGGGTTTGTCTCAAGAGTCTGGTCCTAGTGGTGAACCGTGAGATTTGGTTGATTTTGAAAAAGTAATGAACCCCATTTCTCAATCAGCCTCATAGTACTTAATCTAGGCATTCCAAAAGCAAGTTTTAGGCATTGTGTAAATTGGGAAACCTGGATTATGCTATCAGAAAGACTTAGGAAAAAGAAACCATTGAGATTGGCCTCTGGCACTGTCCATTCTAGAGGTGTGGTAATAGGCTACATTCTGCCAGTTCCAGAACCATGTCACATAGACAAAATGCTCCATGTGTTCAAGCCAAGGATTTTGGTGTTTGAGCTATTATCCAGTACTTTTTCCACCCTTAATAGTGGCCCAGGGGCCCATATAAGTCAGACTCAGCTTTAAACTGATAATTTTACAGTTTGACCAGCAGTTCAGCAAAGGATGGGCTTTAGAATTCAACTGCCTGGCTTTAGATCTTTCTATTGTATAATACCTGTGTGATTGTGGGCAAGCTATTTAATCTGTGTCTCAATTTTCCCATCTGTAAAATGGCAGTAATAGCCCCTTATCATAGGGTGGTTATGAGGATCAGATACAGGTAAAGTGCTTAGACTAGCAACTGGTAAATAGCAAGCACTTGATATTAGCTGTTATTCTTCCCAGAGCATATGGTATCTGGTGTTCTGACCAGTTTGCTAATGATGTGAGGAAAACAAAACCCAATCCAATCAATTGTGAGGTATTGCCTGTGGTTTGTCTGATTAAACTTGAATGTCAACTTTTAGAAGTCCATAGCAACCTTCAATAACTGTCTTCCCAAAGGAAGGGCTCTACTGTATTTTGTCACTTAACAGTTGGCTTTATACAGTAGAAGCAATTCATAGATTGCTCATTTAGAAATGAATTTCTCAAGGCCCTAGATTTCAAAAGAGCTTTGCTAACCTAAACAGAAAGGCATTTTCCAACCTTGGAAAGCTGCATCTGAGAGGTGTGTGTGTGAGAGAAGTTCCCTTTTTTGCCTGGTATCCAGGTACCTCTCATTTACAGTGAATTAGTATGATGGTGCTAAGGATATAGACAGTTGTTGAAAAGGCACACTATTAACGCTTTAAATTTAAAGCAAAGGAAAAGACTTGTCTACTCACCATGATCTAAGAAACTTAGGAGTAACTCCAGAGAACTCTCTGGATGTTTTTGTCTTTGATTCTAGCACTCAGCAGGCTGAGGCTTTCTGAAAACCTCCTGGGTACTATTCTTCCGTTGCTGGGACTCTTCCACCTGGGCCTCAGCCAAGTCTTGGGTTGGCATTGGCCTTTTAAGGGTCCTGGCTTTGCTGTCAGGTTATGACTTTTTGCTCTGAATGACGAAAGCTGTCTTGGAAACATTCCCATTCGGACTTGAGAGATAAGGATTAAGGAATCCTGCCAACACATGGGAGAGCTGATAGGGACCAGCATACTGCTGGAAGCCACTTTGCCAGTCCAAGGGCTATGACCAGTGAGAGGCAGAGGTAGACTTTCCATTCCCAGGGGCCTGTTTAGATCATATTAAACAGTTACTACTTCCTAACAATGGAGTTCCTTTGTGTAACAGGATTTAGGTTTTCCCAAAATAAAGATTATTTGCTCTCCAAGTGTGCTGGGCTATTAGGTCTTTGAGAAAGCCAGTCATTCCTGGTTAAGTTGCTTGGGGATACAAGGCTTTGGCAAAGGATAGGGAGGTATATATCTTGCCTCATTTTGGAGATGAAAAGCCAGAAATGTACTTGACCAGAGTACTGTTGACAGCAGGAAAGAGCCTTAATCTAGTGCAAATTACTAATTATTAGAGGATCCATGACTTCCCAAGGTCACTCTGAAAATTGGTAGCAATCCAGGGACTAGAATTGAGGTCTCCTTCTCGGCCAGAATTCTCCACCTGATGTCTGCCTCTCCAGGGCAGATGTGCTGGAAAGCTGCACTACTTAGAGAAACACCAACCAGAAATGGCTCAAATAAGACAGAATGAGATGCCCAGGACAGAATTTTCACCTTCAAAGCCTCTGTACAAGGATATGGTATTAGACACCTGATGTTTTCACCCTACTTCCCAAACATGTTTTTAATAGACTATCTCAAGCCGCAGGGGGCATAAGGGAGACAAAACCCACTGATTTCACTTACTAGTCAGACTGCAGCCGTGGCAACAGAGATAAGGTGATGTAGGCTAACTAATGAAGCTCAGCAGGAAATCAGTAATAACATTGACAAGAAAAACATCCTGGCATAATTTTTTAAAAAAATAAAAGTGCCTAAAATGAAAAGTTTTTGTTTTGTTTTTAACTGCAATTTTTGCCAACTGTGCTTGGTATTCTGTGACCAGTGCTGTTTTCTTTTTATACAGTAGTATTAGTGTTCTAATGTGTGAGGGAACCACAAAAGGCCACCCTCATTCAGTAGCCTGGTTGTAGCCACCCCTCTCACCCTGCCCTAACAACCTAGAAATAGGCTGGTCTCCCAGAATCCAGGCTGTGGAGGAGAGAGAACCTACAAAGGACTTGCTCTTGGTGTAGAGCATTCTTGTGTCTAGTTCTAACAAAATGAGAGTTTTCATGACATTTCTGCTTTGACAGTACTAAGTGCTGCAAGATGATCTTGAATGAGGGTTTTTCTGCTTTGTTTTCCTAATGAGAATCTGCTTTGCTTAAAACCTAGGACTTCATTCGTATTAGTCACAGAAGACTGGTTGGCTGTATGTTAACCTGCCCCTGGCAAGTGTTAAGTGTTTACTAAAAATCCAGCAATGCTGGAAGATTGGAAAAGCTCTGTGGTTTCTCCCTTACAGAAATTGCATTCATCATGTATTTGAGGAGTCACGTTTCACAGATGAATATTTTTACTGTGTACATGATTTTTCCCTCCAGGGAAATGGTTAAGTTGAAGTATGCTGTCATTAGCTTGTGAATAGTAAAACTTGGTGTTGGTCACTAAACTTGAATTCTCCCTGTAACAGTCCCAGAGTTTGAAAATTCAGATGCTTTTAGGGGCCAGAAGGGTAATATAAGTGTTTAAAGCAGTCCCTACTCAGTTCCAACTGATTGTTGCCTTATTTTCTTATAGGGATGAGCCCAGTATTGCTAGATTGGATTTTCTTTTTAAATAAGAGGCCAGAAACCAGATTTTTAGTGAAATCTCCCCATTCTTAAATGTTAATAACTTACTCTAAAACATTTTAGACATGTTGTCTAAATAAAACAGACCTGGGCCACATGGCTTCTGATCGAGACTTTCTGCCTTGCCCAAGAATTCAAGCAACATATTTTACTGAAATAGATGTTGCATGATCTCTTAAGTTGTGTAAGTTTTATTAAATATCTTTTTTCTCTTACTAAAAAAATCTAAAACATATACAACAGGCCAAGAATAACCATTCTAAGAAAAATGCTGTCAGTAAATAAATGTACCTTGGAGTGAAATACAGAAGATTTTTGTTTCGTAAATTATTCCCAGTTGTTTCAGTTTGGCATACAGTGAGGATGCAGACTTGTGTCTGAGAACTTCCCCCCGACAGAAGGGCCACACAGCTCCCCTTCCATCCCCCCTGGGCAACCCCTATTTCTTACTGGTGAATATTAATATTTTTTTTTTCCTACAGATGGACTCACATGTCTTTTTAGTGAGACAACTTTCATTTTTTTTAATTGGAGAGTTACTAAGAGAATGAAAATGAAGTGTAAGACGTAAGGTAGAGGGTGTCTGTATGCAACCTCTATGCCCACCCCTCAGAAGCCTTGAAGCTTTTGAGGTACAGACCCTCCGAAGGGTCCTTTCAGCCCTGGAAGCTGAGACCTTGCTGAATTTTGAAAAGCAATTTGGTCTTGGACATCATAGATTTACCTCCAGATTAGAATGGGTTAAAACAGATTTACAGGTGGTTGGTTACTTTTTTTTTAAGCCAACTGTGATACCATTAATGTATTTCTAACATGTAAACTCTTCATACATTCTCTTAAACATCACAGTGAAAAACAAGTACCCGTATGTGTGATAGGGCAGGCAGAGGGCTCCACCTGCTCTGTCCTTGGTAAAGGCCCTTGGCCACACTGGTGAAAATGCCGACTTCTCTTCTGCATGAATACAAATGTTGTGCCATCCCACTGGAGCACCGGTGGACCCCGAAGGCAGGGCAGGGGGAGGGGATCTTTTTGAAATGTTTCCAGCTCTGTCCAGCTGTCTTCCAGCCTGGGAGTGCTGCATAAAACTATAAGGACACTGATGAGACCATGGATCTGTTGCCATTCTCTAGGGAAGACTTGGCTTGGAGTATGGCTGCCTGGATTCTAAAATGTGTCCTTGACTCCATGGAGTAATTCTTGTAGTTTTGCCTGGAAGAGACCAGAGAATCAGACATAAAAGGCTGCTCGAGGAAGTACTTTTCCTTCAGTCTGAACTATAGGAACCTACTAGGCCAAGGAAGATTTTTAGAAGCTTAAATCCTGGTCTGTCTAAAAGAGTTGGGCCTTGCCCAGTAGGGATTAACAGAAAGGATGGGTAGTCCCTCACCCTCTGGAACCAGTCTTATTCCTGTTGAGTCCCCAAGCTTGAGGGAATGATTTGAAGAAGTAAATGCATGAGGCTGGAAGGCAGGAGACCTGGGTGTGACCAGGTAGTTGTGCTGTGACCCTGGGTAATTCACTCCCTACTTCTGGGATTCCAATTCTCACTGGCAGATAATGAGGGAATTGCCTTCTACACCAGAGCTGGGTACCCAGGGACACAGGCCTGGCCTCTGGACTGCCATAATGCCCTTGCCAGCACCCTCTCTTCCTGCTTCCTGTGCTCCTCTGCCACCAACCAGGGTGAAGCTCCTGAGGGGGGAGGAAGACCAAGGCTATTCAAGCCTCCAGCCTTACTTGGCAGTTTCCAAGAGTTTGACAGCCTCTTCGTTTCTGCCTTGCTCCATGAATAGCAGGGCCAGCTCCAGCAGGGCATTTGGGATCAAGTAGTGGTCATACTTAATCTTCTTTTCACTGTGGGACAGAGGAGGACATGTCTTATAGGCTCTGCCCTTGAGACATCCTATAGGTTCTTGAGCCTTCCCCCAGAGGGAGGATCTAATCCATGCCCTCAAGTGGGGGTTCCTGATAATGAATTCTGGTTGGAGGAGGTTTCCCTTCATAGCCACAGAAAGGCTTAAGATCCACCGCAGAGGCTTCCAGTCCTCTGCACCTAGAGCCCCAATTCCCTAACAACTTCTGGCTCATGCCATGTATTGCCCATGCCTGCCTCTGTCCCCAATGCCCTTTGTCCAGGTTAAATGATTTACTAAATTGGGAAGTCTATGGTCTCCATTCTGGCCCTTCTGACTCACTCTCGTTGGTCTGCCAGAGATATCCTTTTGAAGCCCAAATCTGCCCTGCCCAGTCACCTTCCTGGATCTTTTCTGTCTACAGGATCATGTTTAGCCATGTAAGCAAAACATCCAGGACTTTCTCAGTCTAGTCCCCCTTATTTCATCTGTACCTTTTCCCTCTATAACTTCACCCAGGCAGCAGAGGACCTAATCACTGTCACCCCAACCTCAGGTATTTTTCCTGTGTCCAGGCTTTTTTGCAGAATGCTGTACCTACTCTACTTAAAACTCCTGCCTTTCTCTGCCTGATGGAACTTCCCAGTTAAAATGGCATCCCTGGAAAGCCTTTCTTGGTATCTTGCTTTACATATAGGTCCCTCCTCAGGGCACCTGCTGTCCTCTCTGCTTTCCTGTAACAGCCCTGGTCATACCAGATTGAGTTGCCTATAGCTGTCTATCTGTAACATTTGTGCTCCTCAAAGGTGGAATTGAATTACAAACTCCAGGAGGCACCATTCACCTGAAACTTTTGTGTGGATGCACCCCTGTAGTTGGGCAATCTGGTGGCCCTAGGGGATGAGTTCTGAATGATCTCTGCCCAGCAAGAATCCTGGCATAGAAGAGACACTAGTAAAAGTGTAGTGAATGGGGGTAGGCTAGGGTCAAGTACTGGAATGCATGTGAGGAAGGAGAAACCCAATTCTACCCAGGAGATGTGGGCCCAGCAGTAGGCCATCTGGAGTGGGAGCAGCCTCAGAAGCACTTACTTGGAAGAAATGCTCCTGAAGTTCTCCTCAGCCTCCTGAACACGGCCTAGGTATTTCAGACAGAGGCCTTTCAGCAACTTCACCAAGCATTCATCATCCACTGAGTACTCATTCTCTGAGAACAGGGGAGTGAGGGAAGACAGGCTTGTTTATTTCTGCAACAGTTCCTGCACGGAGCCCCTACTCTGCTGGGCCCTGGGGACAGAGAGGTAACTTACACATGGTCCCTGTCCTCAGCAAGCTCACATCTGGGAAGTAAAGACAGATACTGAGACAATGACCGTACAGTGAGATTAGGATTGACTGAAGGAGGCCCAGGGGTTGTGGGAGCCCAGAGGAGGCCTTGACCCTACCTTGGGGGACAAGGGACAGCTCAGAGAAACTGCCACTGAAGCTCAGTCTAGAAAGGCAAAGGTTCATTACCTGGATAGAGGAGGAAGGACATTTTTGGTAGAGGGAAACTTTAAAGACCTGTGGTCTGACTCAGCCTAGCAAGTTCAAAGGCTTGAGGGTAGTCACCTGGGCCCTTTTCCAGCATCTCTTCAGCTTTGGTGATAATCTCAAGTATCCCATCTGTGAGTTCAGGCTGCTTCCCAATCACAGCGTAGCCATTCCAAATGTACATCATTTCCTGAGGGTAGGGGAGCAAGTCAGTCAGGTTTCCTCCCCAGTGGAGTCTTGGTTTCCCCAGCTGTAAAATGGGCAGCTCAGATTAAAAGCCCTTATAGTTTTAATCTTTTATGCCAAGTCTCAGCCCAGCCTATGTAGTTGTGGACTTGAAGGGATCATGGCAGGGAGCCTCATCACTTTTTGGGATCTCACCTTACACCAGTGTGGATTTAAGATGGGCCCATATTCTTGATGTTCTGCTCACAGCTGCACATAGTTTTCAATTACTCTTCTGTTCATGGCTTCCCTGGGTGTTCAGCTCTTTCCCAAACCTCTCTGTCAAAACTCTTTCCCCATACTTTGAGGACCAGGCCTTGACCCACACTCTCCAGGAAGTCCTCCCTGTTCCAGCTGGCAGGATAAATATTGGAGGAACCATATTTACTTAAGCACTTCAGGATTTCCAATAGCTCTTAAGACTGTGTCACCTTCTCTTTTCCCTCAAGGCACTGGGCTTGAGTTACCCTCATAAATACTATGAAACACATCTGGATTCCTTTCTTTGCCTCAACTCTCAGGAAGCTCAGAATACTAAATTAAATATTCATTTATAGTAAATGTGTTAGCATTTCCTAAACTATGAAACCAGGGAATAGATGTGAAAGTGATTTGTATACAAAAAGTTCTATAAAGATGTTATTATGTTTCTTGTTATACTCCAGGGATGGAATTTAAGTTTAGAACCAGTATTCCTCAAAAGGTTTATATAGTCCCAAGTTAGCAAATATTCCATTAAAAAAAAGAGGCCTGTGGCCAGTTAAGTTAGGGAAAAAATCATCTTCATGCTTACTCTTGACGACTTACAACATATTATTACATAAAGACTCCAAAAGGTGTATACAGCAAATAAACTTTTTTAGACTTTCTTGAATACATTTAATCCACAAAACTATTTTAGGCATAAATAAACATTTTGCAGATTACAGTTTGGGAAATTCTAAATTTTTGGTATAGTTGCTTCCCCATTCCTTTCCTTCCCATACCCCCCCATATGATAGTTTTATTATGCATTTCAAACTATAAGCAGTTTCAAAATTTGTTTAAAGATATCCAGGATATAGAAGTTCTGTATTAATATTCAGTTTATTTATAAAGTACTTAACACATTTTATCAGCTAATTCTCTTAACTGCTCTATGAAATGGGCAAGGTATATATTTTACATTAAGGGAAAGGGAACCCTATCCAAGGTCACACTGTTAGTGAATAGTGGAGCCAGGACCAGAAAAAAGCAGTGCCCTTTCTACTTTTTGGGTTACCTTAGTATTTAAACAACACTCTTTTAACAAGCTGGAAACTTCTGATGCCAGCTCAGATCATGCATGGAATTAGCATCATACAACACTGGTTCAGAATATAGGCTCTGGAACCATTCTAGATTTAAATTCTAATTCCCAACTCACCAGCTGTGTGACCTGGACAAGTTATTTTTATATTTATATCTATTTATTAGACATCTTTCTACTTATCTATTAGGCATTATTATCCCCATTTCTAAAATGAGGATAACACCAGCACCTACTCTGAGTTGTTTTAAGGACCAAATGAGGCAAGGGGTGTAAAGAGCCTTGATCACACAGCAAGTGCCCAGTAATACTGTCAGCTATTGTTATTTCAGAGGCGAACAGAACACGGTCCCAGGCCTCAAAAGCTTGGTCCAGTGAGGGGGACAGTGTAAACAATTATAATCATGTGACAAGACTGAAACACTGGGTGGGAACAGAAGCAGCTGAGTGATGCCCCTGCCTGGGCACAGGGGTGTGAACCTGCTCTTTCATCTTGAGGCATCTGAAGCCTGCTCACCTGTTTCCCTAGCCCCACCAGACCAGGACTTTCTCAGGCAGGGGATGGCTCAGACTCATTTGTATGCTTCCCTAACAGTCTCAGATAAACTGAAATCCTTTCCAGGCCCCTGAGGTATGAAGGTCTTGCTTCCTCATCCACTTCCCCCTTGCCATAGCTGTATCTCTGGCTCTCAGATAATCCCCACAATCCCAAACAAGTGCAGAGACAGTCAAGACCTTCCTACTTACCAGAGCAGGGATTGGCAACGAGATTGGCTTGGGAGAGAGGTAGCGTCTGGACTTCCGGATGGCAAACTTCTCTGTAGGTAGAGATTTCCCAGCAATCTTGAGCTTCAAGCCTGGCACTGCTCTGTGAAAGAGATGAAGAGGGTGAGAAAAAACTAAGGACCGAGATCCTCAACCTGCCCAGCCTCTGCTTCGCTCCTCTCTGGGCTTTGGTTCCCCAAGTTTATAGGATAGGGTTGGACTCAGCCTGTGGCTATGGCCTGCCCACTTCCTGAGGCTAGGCAAGGGGCCTCCTCCACATCAGCTGGCAGACATGAGAATGTCAGCAAACTCCCCAGGCCTGCTTTGCTAGTTGTCTCACCACTCCCAGGCCTCATTTCCAGAAGGCCAGAGAAGCCTGACCCCAGTTTCACAGGGAAGACTAATACCCAGAGAAAGGGAAGGACCTGCCCAAGACCACACAGATCAAACCTTTAATTAAGTCCTGCCACGTGAGTTGTGGCCTCAGCTGTTTCCAAAGGCAGAATAAAATGTGTGCAGCTGGGCAAGCCTCCACATGGGGGGGGGGCCGGGGGAAACCTCACCAATTCAGCTCCATCCCACACTCCTGATTTGTGCCACAGGCACTGGGCGTGGCTGTGACCCTCAGGCTTGAGCCATCCAGGCCCAGGAAACAGCTGGATCTAGTTGTGACTTCCCTGCCAAACACCTCCCCTGCTTATTCACTATGGAACCTCTCTGGGCCCCAGTTTTCTCATCTCTAATTGGAGATAATGATATGAAGGGGAGTAGAACTTGTTACCCCAGAATATGCCTGTGTGACATAAGGATTATTTTAGGCTGATTAAGAGACAGCAGATATAGGAAAAGCTCTGAAAACCGAGTAGAAATTTCTCTTTTGTAAGAGATTTTTTTTTTTTAATTTTAATTTTTGAGAGAAAGCACATGCACGAGTGAGTGGAGGGAGGAGCAAAGAAAAGGGAGACACTATCTGAAGCAGGTTCCAGGATCTGAGCTGTCAGCACAGAGCCAGGCATGGGGCTGGGCTCGAACTCACAAACCATAAGATCATGACCTGAGCTGAAGTCGGACACTTGGATGTTCAACCTAGTGAGCCACCCAGGGGCCCGAGACAATAACATTTATAAGGGAGACCTCCATTTGTAGGGGCATCTCCTCTGTACCTGGAAGAGGAGAAAAAGCCCTAGAAACTCTTAAAGGAGGCAGAGACTTAAATCTGCATAACAACCTTATCCCTCCTTTACTGTGCTTTGCCTGGAAACCTCCCATAACTGGCTCCCTGTCTCCAACATCTTTTATCTTTAGCTGGAGATGGTTTGGGCGATTTCAGTTACTGTTTTTCCAGAAAAACTGGGTCTCTCCATGTGTATAGGAGGTATACATGTTATTAAACTCTGGTTTATTTTTCTCTTGTTAATCTTTTATTAATGGGGGGCGGGGGGGGGCGGTGGTCTCAGCCAGTCTCTAGCTAAGAACCTAAAAAAGTAGAGGGTAAAAAAATGATCCTTCCTCCCCACAGATACTTAACCTCACAGGCTTTCTGGAAGAGTTATGAGATTGAGAAGTGGAGGCACTGGATAAATGATAAACACCCTACGACTGTGACAACAGTAGCTGAAAGCTCAGGTTACCACAACTTCCAGGTCTGCAAATTAGGGTCAACCCTCACCCATGGCCAGAGGAAGGCCCTAGGCTCCATCCTCAGCCTGCTGAGGCTGAGCCCTGCTCTAGACACTTTGCAGAAGGCAAATAGCAATACAGACTAAGAAAAACAGCCAACATTTAGTGGCTCCAGGCCTTACACCAAGGTTTTAAATATAGTCTCTATTTCATTCACAAAACAACTCTGCAAGGCAGAAGTTGTTATTCCCATTTTATAGCTGCTGAAATGGTTCACAGTGACAGCTAAGAAATGGCAGAGGGTGGATTTCATCCTGTTTGACCTCTTTGGACAGCAGTGTCCACATCTGTCCCATTGACCAGAAGAAAGAGACTCAGTGGAAAAGATGTTGACAAACCACTTTCGTGAAATGGGGGGAAAGGCCTCTGAACAGATTCAAAGAGTTGGAACAAGCAGCAGCAGGAGATGGTGGTTATGGAAGGGAATGGGGCACATGGGGAATCCTGAGTGAGGGTCAGGGAGCCCAGAGCCAGGGGAATTAAGAAGCCCACCACCACCCTCCCTAGTGCCTACAGCTCAGGGCAGCTGTGGGCAGATGTGGCTGAGGCGTAGGATAGAGTGCGTTGGTAGGACCCACCTAAACAACTCCACTTCATCATCCCCGAACGGCTTGTAATCCTCCTTCCCAAACATGCTGAGGTAGGCAGCCTTCATGTAGATGTAGGTGGCCTGTGCAAGGCAGAGCAACAGGTGTGAGCAGCCGGCCTTCCAGTCAGCCCCAGATTGGCACAGATACCTCATTCAGACCTCACTAGGCCAGCACAGTAGCCAAGCCCCAGGGGAGAAACTGAGGGTAAGGAAGCTGAAGTACCTTGAGGACTTGAGCTGGGAGCTAAGTCCAGGAAAGGCCCATGTCTACTTAAAGTAGCTGCCCTCCCTCTGAAGCAGTGGAGAGAAGGACTCAAGCAACTAGTGGATGTGCAGGGCAGGGCAGGGCAGTGCTGAGGCAAGGACAGATATACAAAGAGGACAGTAAGAGCTTTGGGGAAGCAATTACTTTAGATTGGACCCCTGAGAACCAGTGGGAAGATTCACAGAGATCTGAAAAAGGACCTTTCAGGCAAGGGCAACAGCCTCAGCAAATCCAGGGAGGGGCAGAGATGTGTAGTAAGAAGCATAAATCATAGCATAAATAGCATAAATAGCATAAATCATAGAATGTGTAAAAGAGATGTGAGGCTGCAAGAGTGTGTCAGGGGTCGGTTCAGGGTCCCTGCCTTTCTGTGTGCCAGGCACTGTACATACACCACCCTACAGGATTCAAAAGACCATGTTAGAAAGGAATCTGTACCTCGCCTCTGCTTCCTGGGACTGCAGAACTTATGGGGGGGGGGGCAGCAGCAGAGCTGGAAATGATGCTAAGTGTGTGTGGCTTTAAGGGCCTTGCCCACTGGATCCACAGCCAACCCAGACAGGGAAGGTGCAGTTGTGCAGACCCCTATCCCCACCTCCAGATACATTCCTTCCCCAGAAGTCCAACACCAGAGGAACCTGGTTCTGTACTGCCCTCCAGTGGCCAAGCCTTGAACCTCAGCTCCTGCTAGCTGGGGCTCTTGAGGAAGTACCTGCGGGTGGTCTACAAAGAAGTGTAGGGGGTGGAGAAGGAAAGGGAGCAGAACATCCTGGAGTCTAGTCTCAGGAGAAGGCAGAAAGCAGCCTCCACCAGGGGCACCTCCCAGGCTGAAGCCAGGGTTATTCCCAGTTGCACTCTGCCCTCCACACTTTCACCCACCCTTCAAAAAATGAGGAAAGGCTGGTCTTTGAGGGGGTATGGGAAGAATCTACCCCCTCTGAAACTGTTGCCCATCCTGTCTTTAATCTGGTGTCATCCCTACCTTCTCCCTCTCTGCCCTGGAACTGAGTCACCAAGTCATGATGATCTTACCTCCTATAGCTCTTGAATCCCACTTACTGCAACCAGCCTCCACCTTGGGTCCCTGCTCCAAGCCACCAGGGATGTCTTCTACTGCCCTTGTCCATACGGTCTCCTAACCCATCTCCTTGCTCCCACCCCTGTCCCTGAAAGCCATGTCCACCCCATTGCCACTCTGATATTTTAAAGTCAGATCATGTCAGTCCCTCTTTGAAATCTTCATATCCCATCATGCTTAGGATAAAATCCAGACTCCCTGTCAATGGACTATGAGCCCTTACCCTATCTTCCTCAGTTTCCTCTCCAACTTTATCTCCTGTTGTTTCCCCCTCACACACATCACTAGCCACAATGGCCCCGGGGCTGTTTCCAGAACATATCAAACACACTCAGCTTCCCCCTCCCTCATGCTTGCATTTTCAGTGTCCTTGGCCTGGAATGCTCCTCATTAAGATACCCACATAGCTTTCTCCTGCACTTCATTCTGGTGTCTTCTCAGACAGGCCTTGCCTGATTTTTCTTTACTACACATACCAGCCTGACATTATTACACTGCACATCTATTTGTGTGTTTCTTGTCCCTCTTCCCACTAGAATATGAGCCTTGAGATGGAGGGGTCTTTGCTCTGTTCACTGCTGGATGTCTTCGACCCGGCACATGGGGTGCCAGCAACTGCAGGAGGGATTTCTTAGAGCACAGATCCAAGCCACACACATCAGGGGCTCCCCCACTGTTAGACTAAAGGCCTAACAGCCACTCAAGGCCCTCTGCTTGTCTGGCTCCTCTTGTGCCATTCCTTCCCCATCAGTCCTGTGCCATCCCTCTGCCTGGGAAGCCACTCTCTTTTCTCACCAGGCTCAGCCGCGGGCTTCCTCCAAGAGCCTTATCCTACCCCTCAGCCACCCCAAACAGCTTACCCTCACTGAATCACCAGAAGTTAGGATGGATAAAGTAACCTAGAGTTCTGAGACCCACAGACATCCAAGTTATCAAAGGATGCTATGCAGCCACACTGCCGCCTCGCCTGCTGGGAGTCCTGTCTCCCAGGCTTATCTGATTGCCCAATGACTCCACACATTTATTTTGCTGCATTACTCTACCAGGGTCTGTGTAAATAGACAGTACTTGTCCTCAAGAAGCTTACAGCCAGTGGCCTGGGGGAGATCCCTCTGCAGCCGCCTGCACTGCCACCCACAAACCCCTTCACCTGGTGACACAGAACCTCTTGGCAGCACCCTAGCTCCTGAGCCTCTGTCCTTGCTTTTCTCTTGGCTCCACTTCCTCCACTCTGCCACCCTAATTCCTCCTCCTCTGTCCTCTTGACTGGGCTACCCAGGGCTGCCTGTGAGTTCCTCTTGGATTCCCCCACTATAGCCCTGAGCACACCACTGTCGCAGAGCACAGGAGTGAAGGCTCCACAGGGATGCTTGGCACAGTTCAGGCAGAGGAATGCAGAGCAGAGGGGCTGGTGCATATGGCAGTGACCATAAGCTTAAGTACCTAAAGCTGGAAGTTGGTGGACTCTGATGGCCAAATGCTACAGATTAGGAATGAATGAGGCCCCGAACTCGAGGCGCTACAACCCCCACTCCCAGAAAACACTTCTGAGGGAAGCACTGGAGAGGGAAGGGGACCAACCACCTCAAAGTCACACAGCAGGCTGGAGATGGAGTTGACTCATGTCCAGATTTCTTGACACCTGGGAGGCTGGCGCGCTCTCTGCTCCTCACAGCAGCTGTGAGGCCACCCCAGGCCTCTTCCCTGTGTAGGTGAACCCAGCTGCCTGCCTTCCACCATAGGAAGGCTTCTAGGTCACTTCAGTTCAACAAGGTTCCTTCCCTGATGTTGTTTTTCTCATTGGGAGTGGGAGGTGAAGAGGAATGAACGTCAGGCCCACAAAGGCTGGGTCTGAGAGTACACCTTCAACAGCAGGGTGGTCTCAAGGCAAGGGGGGCCTCCTCCGTGGGACTTAAGGAACAAGGGAAAAGCAAAGGCCTCTGAATCACACAGAACTGTCTTCAAATCCAGTGTCTGTCACCAACAGCTGTGTGGGCCAGGAAAGTCACATACCCTCTCTTGGCCTCCAGGTCCCTTGTGCGTCCAATGCAGATAACTTCTACCTCAGTGGGTGTAGTGTGGAGGGAATGGCAAATGCTGGGCACACAGAGCTCAGTGAAAGCCTGCTCCCTCCTCCAGCTCTGCCTGCCCCGGACCTAGAGAATTTCCTTTCAGCTTGGTCTCCAGGCAGGGGTACTGAAAAGGGACTTCCATGCAGAGGTGGGGAGGGACGAGAGGGATTTAAGGTCACTGAGACACATATTCTATACATTTGCCAATACCAGATTGGACGCTCTCTGATGATCTCTATGATTCTGACTCTTGGTTCAGAATTCTGTGCTATCGTTACTATGATGGTAACATCTAGTACTTATTTTACCACTTCCCCTAATGTTGTAAGTTTTCACCTATGGTAGACATCTATCTGCTTTGCTTTACTTTGCCTTCATGGTATCTTTTTAATGCTTCCCCCCAAACCAACACTTTTTATAGGGACATCACCTCATTTTTTTCCAGAGAACCACCCTTCTACTCTTGATCCATGAGGAGTCTTCCCACTCCTGTTTCCAGGCACTGAAATGTGATCTTTGCTAGACCCAAGAGCCTCTGTTGTGGGACTATGGTTGAAACTGAAGGGAAGATATTGAGTTAGGAGCAGGCAGTCCTTGGCCACCCTGCCTATCACATGGAGAGAACCTGCCTGCATAGCAAAGATGTCACAAAGCAGAGGACAGCCACAGATGGAAAAACGCCAAGCTGAAATGACATAATTTGAATTCCTGGATCCAGCTGTACCTGAAATCAGATGTGCCTAGAATGTTTAGTTCTATGAACCAAAGAGCCTTTTGTGTTTTTTACCTGCATAGTCCAATACAGTGGCTACTAAACCCGTGTGACATTTTAAATTTAAATGTGAACTAATTAAAATTAAATAAAATTGAAAACATCTAGTTTCCCAGTTGCACTAGCACACTGCAGGTGCTCAGTGTGCCCATGTGGCTGGTGGCTACCACAATGGACAGAGCAGAAATAGAACATTTCCATCATAATAGAACATTCTGTTGGACAGCACTCACCTAGACAGTGTGAGCCATGCTTCTGTCCCTTATGACTAAAACTGTTGACTGATGCTTTGTAGTTCTAAACTTTATCTGCTCCTCATGGTCTTTAGTTCCTTCCAACCTATTATAATTTATGGTTCTATTTAAAATTCCAGCTGATTTTCAGGTTTCAGTTAAGGGTTTGGCTCTTATGGTCTGGAGTCTTATGGCCAGGCTGTGTTGGCCCGGTCCCCCAATGACCCCAACACTTGGTGTCAGCCCACCTTAGACCAGGAGTTCTCCTTGCTGAGCAGGTCGGCATAGAAGTAGGCCATCTTCCACTGGCCCTTGTAGGTGAAGCACCACATCAGCTCCCAGTAGCACATGTGGTGGAACTGCTTCCAGTGCTGCTGGGCCTCACAGCACTCCTCGAACCGCTGGATGGCCTGTGGGCACCTGCTGGTCAGTCTCATGGCCCCACCACCCCACCACATCACATAGAAGACCCAGCCTTTTCCACTGGTCTAGTCTAGCCCTGTGCCAGGCTTAGGGAGGGAGGGCAGGCCGCAGCACTGGGGAGATGGGACAATTCTGGGCTCCAGTCCTAGTTCTACCCACTAAGTCTCACTTCCTGCCCAACTCTGGGACTCTAGTCTTTCAGCACAAAATGAAAGGATGGGATAGAGCTATAATGGAAGGATAGGAGGCAGTGGAAAGTTATTAATATTAAAGCAGCATAATAATGTCTGCGCCTCAGAGCAGACTCCAAAGTTTCCAGTAGCTCTCATGAAAGGAACCGGACCTAGGGCATCTGTCCTTCTGCTTGAGGAATCAGATCCAGGGCCAGCTGGAGACCCCAGAACGCCACACTGTAACAGTCCCTCCTGGGTATTCTGCCAGACCCATGACCCTCCCCTTCTAACCCCTTCATTGGCTCCGTCCCACCTATGGAGTCCAGACTCCTTAGCCAGGCCACCAAGGTGCCAATCTCACACCCTGGCACCACTACTGTGCCATTCACAGTGCCCATCGTCATGCCCTGAGTAGGCCTTCCCACCACTCTGCCTCACTCAAAGACCTCCCTCTGCAGGGAGCTGCAGTCTTACAGCTCCTTGCCAGATCCTACTCACCACAAATGCCACCTCCTCCCTCATCTTCCTAGACTGTCTCATTCAGAATTGCTTCTCCTACCCTGCTGTCTTGTTGGTTCTCCCTTGGAGCACTCCTCCCAGTCTGCCCTGTCTCCAGTGTGTCTGTGTCTGTGTCTGTCTGCTTACTGGTCTGGGAGACCCCAAGGAGTCGCCAGCACTGGCCCAGACCCCCATTACTCACTGTGTCAACATTGCCTTTAATGGCTTCAATCCGCCCCGCAAAGAACAGGAAGATGGCACCCTGCAATGACACGCACGTGGGTCTGTGTGGGTCCACAAGGCACACATTGGCTGGGGGTGTTGCAGCAGGAAGCAGGGGCTCACCTTAGGATATCGCTTCAGGTAGGGGTTCAGGAGCTTCTCTGCCTCCTCAATGTTCACATTCCCAGTACCTAAAGGAGGTGAAGGGACAACACACATCACCACCACCAGCTCTTGTAATCCCTTCAGCAACCCACTAGGAGCTTCTCAGGGCCTCTATTTCCCTCTCTGTGAAATGGGGATGATAATTCTTCTACCTCCAGGATGATGTGAGCATTAAATAAGATGATACAGATATCATCCTGGGACATCACAAGACTCAATAACAAAGAGCCATGCCTGCCAAGGTGGTGCCCAGAACCCCAAGGACCTAACTACAGTGCCCTCACACCCTGCACAAGGTGGGCATGGCCATCCCCATTTCACAGATGAGAAAAATGAAGTTGGAACCTGGTCACATTGTGAGGAAGTGAGTGGTCAGCAAGCCAGGCCCGAAGACAGCTGATGTGGCTCTGTTGATTCTGGTGTCAGCGCCCCATCCCCAGTCTTGTGGACCCAAGCAGGGTCTGCAATCCCTTGCCATCTCATCCCCTGCCCTTGGAGCCAACCAAATCCCAGAAGCCCCAGCTTTTGCCCAGGAGGCGCACCTACCGAGCACAAAGGTGAGGAAGGTGTGGTAGCAAAGCAGCAGCATGACACAGAGCACAGCACGGAAGCTGTGCCCGGATGCGCCCTCCTCCAGCTGCAGCAGCCCGTAGTCCTGAGGGAAGAGACCGACAGGCTGAGGCCAGCCCCAGCATGGGCAGGGGCCTGGGAGGTGGCTGGACAGCCTTGAGAGCAGTGCTGCTGGAACGGGAGTCGGGGGGTAGTGGGAGGGGACAGCGCCGGACTCCAGACACATCTGGAATCCTGATGGCCAGGCCTCCTCTAGGGGCCTCAGCAGCCTTCCTGGGGGGCAGGGGACACTGCTGCCAAGGCCAGGGCAGAGGCTTGGGTCCAGGTGTTCCCTATTTCTGCAACAGCCCCTTCCCCGTTCCTGCCTTTGTTCACCTGCTTGCCCCCATGGTGGGTACTGAGCCCCTGAGCAGCCCCTGGTGGGGGAGGAGGAGGAGGAGGACAGATTCCATTTAGGCAAATAATCCTAACCACAGTCTCAGGGCATAGATGGGGCCAAGATGACTGCAGTCTGGGAAGGCTTCCTGGACAAGAAGACTCTAGAGTCTGGCTGGGGAAGAGGAGAAGCCAGATTCCACTTGTATCCCTTCCTGTAGTCTCTGCCCATCCTGTCTGTTCTCCAGGGTGTTCTTGTTCTTTCTAATACACAAATCTGACTTACCTCACCCTTACCTCAAACCCTCCAAAGCTTCCTTGCCTTTAGGATAAGACAAAGCCAGAGCTGGTGCCTGAGGGCCCTCACACTCTGACACCGCCTCCCTCTCCTCCTGGCCAGGCAGGCCACATTATCCCACCCCTTAGCCTTTCTCATCCTCTTCCCTCCTGTCATCATCCTGAAATCCTTCTCGTGACCCAATGGCCTTCTTAAGAAAACAAAACTAAAAGGGACCTTCAGAGCCTCTCGCTACTGTTTCCCCAGACCAGGGCCATGGACCACAGATGGCAACCAAGATTTTAAAGATCTCCAGACAGACATGAGGCATAGAGTCCCAAGTAAGGGTCTTCCCCTCTCAATTCTCTGTCTTCATGGCATCAGGGAGAAAGCCTCAGTCCCGTGCTGGTGTGCGTTCAACATCCCTGTCGCTCTAAAAACCTCTTCTCACAGGAAAACAGCCTCTACAGATCATACAACCTGCTTTTGCAAGATTGCTTGGCCCTCACTATATCTATGATTATGTTCTTATCGTGCCAAATAATATGGGTTTTCTATGTAGTAATGTTTCCTTTAGATAAACTTACATAAAAAATATGAACCATTTTTGGGAAGAATAATACATAAATAATAACAGAGGTCTGCAGACATGGCAAAAATCAGGAAAGGTCAGAGGAAGTTCAAGTTGAGAGGCAGTGATCAGTCAAAAAAAAAAAAAAGTCCCTTGTTACACCCAAAAAAGGCCCAGAGGAGGTTGGCTTTTGCTCTAAATCACAAAGAGAAGGAGATGAGGCTGGAATGACCCAAGGCTCCTAACTTCCAGGCCATTGTTCCTTCTGCCACATGGGGCCTGCTCCACCAGGGAGCTCCCCCTGATCTGCTACCTAGTACTTAGACTCCTGCCCTTAGCAAAGCCTCTGGGTGCTTCAGTCCTCTGGTTTCTGCCCTCAAGGTCTGCAGGGCTTCCCTCAGCCATTTCCCACACAAGAAAATGGTCCCAAGGGAAAGAACCTGCTTAAGGTCTTCCAAAGGGAGGAGGACCAGGATCCTGACACCGGTCAGGCTCAAAGAACATGATTCCAGACCACTGCACGAAGCTGCCCTTCATACCCACCCTTACCCTAGAGCCTCTTCACCCTGTGTGAGGCCAGGCAGGTATCACTGGCCCCATCTGATTGGAAAGGAGACTGAAGCTCAGAAAGGCCTGGGCCTTGTCCAGGGCCACATACTGAGGGGTGCTGTGCCATTACTGGCACACAGATCCTGCAGCCCCTCAGCCTCACCCTGTTCAGCTGAGCCACTCAGAGGTCCCAGAAGTCAGGTGGTTACCTTGTTTCCTGAAAACCCCACAAACTCCAGCAGCCGCAGGATCCTGGTAGGAAGCATGGACAGCGTCTGCAGGAACAGAGGCAGGTGGGCCTGTGGAGGGGCTGGAGCTGTCCCTCCTACTCCCCAAGCCCCCAGAGTCCTGGGGGTAATCCTGGGGGAGTAGAACCTATCTCCAGAATGCCCACAAGAAAGCCCCAGGTTTCCCATAAAGCCAACTTCCCTAGAGAAGCAACTACAGTGTGACAATTAGAAGCAGACTGTGTCTAAATCCTAATTTCACCATGCCCACTGGGTCACCCTGGGCTAGCTACATATCCCCTCTATGACTCAGTTTCCTCATCTGGGAATAATGCCCCCTACCTCCTTGGGGTCCTGTGAAGATGGATCAAATTAATATATGTAAAGCATATAATGGAGCCTGCACATAATAGTTAGCCATTATTGTTGTTACAAAGAATCCCTGCTCTGCACCAGGGCTCCATCGTTGCATTTGATCCTCAGAACAGTCCTGCAAAGAAAGATTATTGCCCCTTTTGACAGATGGAAAAATAGAGGCATGGATAAGTGACAGGACATGTCTAAGGCCCCACAGCTCATCAGAGGGGAAGCCAGTTCTTAAACCCAGGGCAGTCCAGCTGTAACTTGCTAAAGCATCCAATGAACTCTGCCGTTTGTACTTCTCAGCACTTGGGCCAAGATCCCCGTTCTCATTTTACATACAAGGAAACTGGAACCCAGAGTGGGGCAGGGACACCCCACCACCCAAGGCCTGCTCTTGGAACAGGCTTTGTCTAGAGGGGAGAGAGCCATCCCCTGCCACACACACTTCTAGACAGGTCTGTGGACACCCAGGGCCAAGAGTCTAAATTTTCAATGAGCAGCTCCTCCTCTCAGGAGTAGGCTCAGAGCCTCTCTCACATTCCTTCTGCCTAGGATACCCTTCCCCACCTATAGATCCTTCAAGATCCAGCTCAGATACTCCTCGCTCCTTGAAACCTTCCCCAGCTCCTCCAGGAAGGGTTCTTGGCTCTGTCCCTGCAGGTTGCCTGCTGCTTCCAGACCTGTCTCCCTCCCCACTACTGGTCAATGTTTAACCACCAGCTCTCCAGGATGGAAAAGGCCCTGATTTATTGTGTTTGTCTTTTTCTGGTCCTATAAATACTGCCACCATGGTGCATTTCAAGCTTTCAACTTGACTTGGGAAGAAATGCACAGAGAGACTCTGAAGCACCTCCACCCCACCTCCATCCCAGCTCTGAGCTCCCCATGACATTGGCAATGCATCTGCTTTATCACTAGGTCCCAGGATCAGCTCAGTGCCCAGCATGGTAGGCCAGCAGAGACCATGTGAAGGTGAATTCCCACTCACCAGGTTGAAGGCTCCCACGCCGAGCTTCACCCCTCCCTCAAAATGCCTGTGGTTCTCTCCCTTACAGTATTGTGAGGACTGCACGAGGCTGTCCAGCTCCCTGTGGAGACAGGCAAAGTCCTTTTCAGCCACATAACAGCGGCTAGGTCCCATTCCAGCTGGGACTAAGGTTGTCCCCCACTCCCAGCTGATCTCAGAACTCCCTGGTGGTAGACTGATAACAGTTCTGACAATCAGAGAGCTGACATTCAAGGAATTTCTGACCCCGTCTGCCTAATAACATAGTCCTTGCCCCTGAGCGTCAGCTTTATCAGCCCCAGCACACTTGCCTTGTCCAGCATCTAAGCATTTTCACATGCTCTTCATTCTGTCTAGAACAATTTCTCAACTTTGGCACTACTGACATTTTAGGCTGGATAAATTCTTTCTTCAGGTAAGGAGGGGGCTAACTGTATATCACAGGATGTTTGGCAGCATCCTTGGCCTCCACCCACTAGATGCCAGACGTAACCTCCCCCCAGGTTGTCACAACCAAAATGTCTCTGAATATTGCCAAATGTCCCAGTGAAGAGCCACTGGGCTAACTGTAACACCCCCTCCTTCAGGAAGTCTACCTGGGGTCTCTTGGTTGAAATCCACCCTTCTTTTTCCTGGTCATCAATTGCACAGAGTCCATATCCCAGCCCGTCTTGGGCAGGACAGAAGCTTTAAAGATGTGCCTGCCTCTTTCCCAGGCCATGAGCATCTTGAAGCCTTTCAATCATCAAACACTGACTGAGGGCTCCCTGTGTCAGGCACTGGACGACAGCTAGAAGCAAAGCCACCAAGTGGCTGCCGTCACAACTCTCCCACTCTAGGGAACAGATCCTCCCCCGCCCCCACCATCAAGTCACTGTGGGGGTGGAGGGGGGCTTCAAAGGAGAAGACTCCTGGGGTTTTACCCAGTCTGGGGTTCAGGGAAGGTTTCCCTGAGAAGCTGACACTTGAGCTGAAACCCTAGGGATAGGATGGTTAGCCTGGCACAGAAAGAGTGTTCCCAGCAGAGATACAAGCATGTCCAAAATCCCTGAAGTAGGAATGAGCTCAGCATGTCTGAAAAATTGAGGGAAGGCACAAATGTTTGAGGCAGAGTGGGGTGGAAGCTGTTGCTAGGAGGGCTAGGAGGAGCTCCCGGAATGACTCGGGACTTTATCCTAAAAGCAAGAGGAGTGTCGGGAACTGGTAAGGGGGTGACCTGACAAGGTTTGTGCTTTGGAAACATCGCTTTGGTAGCTGAAGACACTGGAGGGGGCAGAGCACAATTCCAGCACAGACCCACAAGGCCATGCAGTGTACATATACTACATGGTGTGTTATATCCCAGTGGTACCTTGAAATCACACTCACAATCTCTCTCCAGGGAAACAGTCACATTAGATGGAGAAAATAAAGATGATAAGTAGTCTCAAGTCAATTCAACTTTTAATAGAAAGTGAGTTTTAATGCCAAACTTGGGGGAAGAAACTGGGCTTTCAAAGCTTTTTTTTTTTTTTTTTTTTTTTTTTTTTTTTTTAATTTTAGAATTAGAGACAAGAATTGTGGTGCCATGTTGAGTAGAAGTGTTCTGGACTGAGTCTTATTTCTTTTATCCCTAGACAAAGCCTGTGCTTGGCCCAGTGCTGAGATGGCATGGAAATGATCTGGCCCTCAGGGAGCTCCCAGCTTGGGGAGGCTGTGTGTGTGGACACCATCCCTGTGTACTAGAGGGGTCCAAGGAAGGCTTCATGGGGAAGGTGGCATTTGGATTGGGCCTTAGTGGATACGCAGGGGTTCTGCTGCTGTTCTCAAAATTACTGTTCCTGTGTCTGTCTCCTAGCCTCTACCTCATCAAGCTATTTGTGCAGAATCTGTCTTATTTTCCCCAGGGTCAGGCATAGACTCAGGGGAACCAAATGAACAGATATACACAGGAAACCACGTAAATAATATTCTGGAAAACTGAGGTCCCGAGGGTGCAGAAATCTGCCTGAGGTCACATGGCATTCTAGGCATCCAGCATCCAGCCAGTGCTACCTCCCACAAAGCAGCCTAAGAGGCACAGGGTAGTAGATGCTGTGGCCCCAGGCTCCCCCAGACCAGCCCCACTCACTTGTAGGTCTGGTAGCTGTTTCGAACTTTGATGCCGCCCTTGATGAAGCTCACCATGTTCTCATCCTGCAGGAGGGAGAGACGCTAAGAGTCAGGCTGGGTGGGTAGCCACAGGCTTGAGAGGGATCATACAAGGCTCTGGGCCCAGCCTGCCCCACCTTGGGCCCAGCTCTATGAGGGGTTCTGGGCAGCACTCAGGGGTTAGCCAATCCAGTCCTCTGTAACCCCTGGGACTTGATGAGATGAGGATCTGCTTGCCAAACAAGACCTCCAAAATGTCCAGGGCCTGGAGGAGGCACTCCTCGTGGTTAACAGTGCCTCCTCCAGGTAGAGGAGTTGTGGGAGAGCAAGAAGGATGCTCAGTTTTGGACTATTTGTGTTTTCTACAACAAGCATCTATTTGTCACATTTGTAATTTAAAGCACTAATACCTACAGCCCACTTGTAGTTCCACTCCTGGGAGTACATAAGTATGCCCTAGAGAAACGAACAAACATGGGCTACAGGAGTTACCTTCAAGAATGTTCACTGCACTACTCTTCACAGAGTACAGAACCAAAACAACCCCAATGCCCTTCAGCAGGAGACTGGATGAACAAACTGCTATACCCATAGAAGGGAATATTATACAACTACATAAGGTTGGGTAAAGAAAGCAAGTCCCACACAGCTTGAGGCCTTAAGAAGCTTGAAGCTAACTAAAATGTAACAGTATGCTCCTCACACATGAATAGGAAGCTGAGAAAACTGTTTTTTTAAAAAATAGGTTGGGGGATAATAAAACTCTAGCCAATGGTTTCCCCATGAAGGAAGCAGGGGACAGGGTGGGTAGAAGACTCGTCAGCAGTATTCTGTTCTCTAATTAGGTGGGGGAATTCATGGGTGTTTATTATGTGTAATAATAGAATAAAAAAGGCCATACACAATGCAATTATTAACAGTGATCCTAATGAAGAATTAGGATTATCTAATTCTGTGAGGTACAAAAAGGGAGGACAGCTAACAAAAGTAAACAGTACCCCAATAAAATTCTTATGTGCCTGTCTACCCCAACACACGTATTTACATGATGACTGTTATGTTATAACCCAGATTTTCTGGTGAAATCATGAAGTGATGGTTCTCATAATTACCACTGTGTGGTGAGGAGCACAGGCTCCAAGTCAACCAGACCTGTATTCAAATCCCAGCTCTGCCATTTGCTAATCACGTGACTCTGTGAAAGTGGCTACTCCCCTCTAATCCTCCCCTTTACAAGCCTATGGTGAAGATTTAACAATATATGTACATTTATGTAAAAACAACATGCAATGTGTGTAAGGTATGTAAAAACTACATACGTATAATATACACATAAATCCTGGTATGTCGTAGAATCAAGTTTGATTCATTCAAACTTGTTTGTTGAATGAATCAAGTACAAAGCAGGCTTTGTGCTAATGCTGGTCACCCCACGTGACCCTCAGCAGGAAAACAGCAGTCGTGAGGTGGAAGCACATCCTAGTAGTGGATGGAAACATGTGTGCTGAGTGTGGAGGGGGTAAAGCCCATCACCTCTGCCACTGAGCCTGGCTAGGGTTGGGAGTGTTGGGGTGACTGAGCCTCAGTCTTCTCCCGGACCATAAGGAGGCAGACTGTGGCTGCTTATAGACCCTCTGGCTTGGAGTTGGTGACTGATCTTCTGAAATCCCCAGGCTGCTTGTACAAGAAGAGGGTTCCTACCTGTAGAAAGGTCAGAGCTGCTCTCTGCAGCAGGCACTCTGCATAGCAGACTTCAGCATGGATTTCCTCTGCGGGGAGAAAACCAGCCCTGAGGCCTCCTGGGACTCTCAGCAGGCAGCACAGGCCAAATCCTCCCCACTCTGGGAGGTGGTCTGGTTCCTTCACAGCTCTCAGCACTGTCTAGAATTTTCTCACTCCTTGCACTTGCCTTCCACCTGGTTCCCCCATCCCACCATCCAGAATGTCAACATAGGGCCCTAGGCCTTGTTCTCTTGTTCTCCACGCATCACAGTGCCAGGCAAGGAGAAGGTGCTGGGTTGAATGGATAAACAAAGAAGATCCTAATCCAGGGAAGCCCACAGGCTGTAGGAGTAAGGGAAGGAGAACTCACACAGCCCAGGGAGTCAGGAAAGACTTCCAGAAGAAAGGACATTTGAATTGAAAAGGAATGGAAAGGTGAGGCAAGAAGAGCTTTCTAGGCAGAGGCCTGGGAGAACCAAAAAACTCTGATGTTTGGGGACAGCCAAGCCACAGAAGGTCGAAATGGGGTTAAGGTAGGGAGAGACTTAGGGGACAGGTAAAGATGAGGGGCAGAGGTCTGACTGCAAAGGGCCTTATACATGGGAGGGGGGTGCAGATTTGGCCCTGTGGGTATCAGGGAGCTATGGAAGGCAAGAAGGAGGAATGGCCTTGTCAGGTTCATTGTCTTGTGTTAAAAACTTCAAGGGCTCTTGAGGCTAGAGAACACCATTTGCTCCTGCACTGAAGAGCCCTACCTTGCTCCAGCTGGCTGCTGCTACTTCCGCGACTGCTGCATGGGGTCGCTGCACACAGGCTCTGGCAGCCTAGACCATCTCTCCCACTGCCTTCAGCTATCTGATCCCAGTGCAGGCTCCAAAACCATATTCCCCTCCAGGGCACTTGTGATCACTATGATCATCAGGCCAGTAAACCTAATCAGACACAAAATTCTAAGCCCACCCTAGCCTGAAAAGCAAAGCTAATGACCTCGTGATGGCATTTTCTCTCCCCAGCTTCCAGGTCCTCAGCAGGTAATGCCATCAGGTAAGTGAGCCTCCCCTGCTCCCCAGCTCACCTGAGAGCAACTTCTCAAAAGGGCCCAGCCCACTCTGTGAAACTGGGAGATTAACCGCCCCTTTCCCCACCCATTCCTGGGCTGGGGACAGGGCTGCCTGGGGTCAGCGGGGTTGAGAGGACATTGAGATGCCACACCTTCCGTGAATTGGTCCATAGTGGGGCGATGCACCAGGTTGCTAAAGGAATCTGTTACAGAGGACTTCTTCCGGTGCCTGAAGAGGAAAAAGGGGCCTCAAGTCATTCAGTGAGGGTGAGCCAGGGGCCCAGGTGGGCTCAGATGCATCTCCCACCCTTCCCATGGACTCCACACACACTGAACTGGCAACTCTCCCAAGTCCAGGCTTTCTCACACTCTTGCTTCTGTTGTTACCCCTTCTTGGAGCCCCCTCCCCTCCTTTCTCTGCCCTGGCCAGTTTCCAGTCAACCTTTCAGGAAGCAGCTTCGGCATAACCTCCTCCAGGAAGCCTTTCCTGCTCCTCTGACAAGAACCCTACAGCCCCTGACCAGGCAGTTCAGGTGTCAGAGGTGGCCAGTGCCCACCCAGCACAGGGCCTGGCCCAGGGGTGTGCCTAGTGAAAGACGATTCCAGCTGTGCATAAACACTGAGGGTCCATTTGTTCATTCATTCACTCAAGCGGTTTATGTGTACTGAATACCAATTATGCACCAGGCCCTGTGACCCGTGTCTTCATTCAGTCTCCACAACAGCCCTACCTTCATACCTATTTTACATATGAAGAAAGTTGAGTCCAGAGAGAGACTTGCCCAAGATCAAAGAGTTACCACTTGACAGAGCCAGAATTCATCTCCTTAAAATCAGGCCTGGCCCCTGGAAGCTGCTTAGAGACTGGCTCAGATCATAAGACTCCTGAGGCAGAGCTGATAGGGACAGCTCCTAGCGCTTGGGGACACATCCTCTTAGCCAAAAGGAGCAGCATTAATAGTGGCATTTAGGCACTGGGATAGGCCAAGAAGACAAAAGGACAGACCTCATGACCCCTCATCCCTGCCCGCCCCATGGCCCGGACCTCTGACACAGCATCTGCGCCTCCTTCATCATGTTGCCAGCAAGCAGGATGTCCTGAGGGTCAAAAGTCATCATGGCCTGCATCTCCAGGATGGTGGCATATGTCAGCGAGTGGTACATGCTCTCCTTGGTTCTGCCAGAGAGAAGGGACATGAGAGCGCCAACCCCCAGACCTCCAGAGGTAGCTGGCCTGTGCCGATCACCTCCATAAACTACCCACCCAGCATGGCAGGGAAACAGAGATTCAGAGAGCGGAAGAGACTCTCCCAAGGTCTGACCCTCCCATTGCTGCTCAAAAGGCCTCAGATCCCAGCTCCTCTCCTTCCTGCTAGTGGCACCAGGTGACTTTCCAACTCTGAGCCTGTTTCTCATCCATTCTGTAGGAATGGCAGCAGCAAGAATGTTGTGTGGACTAAAGTAGGACTTCAGCAACCTGTTGGCCTGAGACCGTATGCCCAGTGCCTGCCTCTCACCTTCTGCCACACCTCCTAGAGCAGAGCCCAAGTCCCTTCTATCCTCAAGCTCCCCTTCCCCACCCTGCCCCCTGCGCTTGCCCTATCCTTGTTCCCTGGGCCTTATTGGCCTCACCCCCTCCTGCCTTTCCCCATCCCATCATCTGACCATGTGGCTTTCTGGTTAAGTTCTCCCATGGCTTTCATGTCCCATGATATAATGCCTGGGCCCAAGGCTCCACACAACACAGGTTCTGCCCACCTCTCCAGCCCAGCCCTCTTGTCACTTCTGTTTCTGCCCCATGACCTGCCCTCCCTGACTCATCTATCAAGGCTCTCAACTGCCTCCAAGGCCACTGGGCATCCAAGGCTCCCTCCTCAGGGCGCATGTGTCTATAATGAAGCACAGGTCATACTGAATTTATATCAGCAGAGGCTTAGCTCTCTCCTCAGACTGAACTGTGGGCACCTCAAGGACAGAGCTTGTATGGAACTCATCTCTGTCCTCAGTACCAGCGCCACAGGCCCTTTGTGAGTAGCCTCAGGAATCCTTCTCCTCCTGCCATCTTGCTTCTTCACAGCCCAGACCTCTCAACAGAAAAGCATATGGCAGGGGCTTTTAGTCTAACACATGGAAAGAAAAGCAGGAAGGGAGGGACAAGAAAAATGCCAGTTCCCCTCTGCACTTGGGGAAGTTACAACGTGTCTCAGCCTTGATTTATACTTCTGCAAAATGGGGAAAATAATTCTGGCCTGCCCAGGTCCCTATGGGATTGGCAGGGGATCACTCTTGCTCGTCACATGGTAGGAGCTATAGCAGTTTTCACTCCCTTCCCTACACACCCCCTCATTAATTATTTACAAAACTCCTCAGTGCCAGGCTTATGCTGGGAACTTCAGGGGAAAGAGATGACTGTTCTATTGTAAAATCACATGACTTCACCCCTTTTCATACCTTTCTCATTCATAAAACTGTAAAATTAAAAACTCTTTGTAAATTAAGTGTAAATTCTGGGTGACCTCTCTGCCCAGGTAATATTATCCTGGGGAGCCAAAGGTTTTTAAAGGAAACCAAAGGCTGGCCCACCCCTCACCAGCCCTGGCAGCTGTCCCAGGTCTTTGCTAGAACTCCTTAATCTGAAGGCAGTGGCTTGTGGAAAAGAGGCCACAGCCTGAAGTGGGGACAGAACTTCGGCTTCAGCGTCCCTGAGACACAGGCTGGAATCCTGGCTTTGCCAGTTACCAGTTGTGTGATCCTGGTGAATCTTATAAACTCTCTGAGCCTCAAGTTTCTCCTCTGTAAAATGGATACAATAATCATTCTCTCCCAGGGCTCTGGGTTGCTTAAATAGGACACCCAGGCCAGAGCCACATCATTGATGCTCAATAAATGTGAGTCTGCCAGGGTCAAGGGTCACTGCCCTAGAGAGAAACTCTCTCCTTCAGCAGACGTTTCCCTGGCAGTACCCAGACCCATCCCTCCAGATAATCCCCTCCCACCCCAGGCCTCTTGAGTTCTCAAGCCCCTGCCCCTCTCTTCCTCTCTCCACACCAGTGAGACCTGGGACTTAGCCCTAAGCACCCAGTCTGATACTGAGTCCAGAAGGAGGGGCAGCCCCACATGGGCAGCTGGCAGGCAAAGTGGAATTTCTAGTCTGAGGCCTAGTGCCCAATATGCACCTGCAGCTAGGAATCCTGGCTTTTCCCCAGCCTACCACTGGAAGGCCCTCAACTGCGTTCTGGACTGGGACTTGTGGTACAGGCATACATGGAAGGTACTCGAAGGTTTGGTTCCAGACCATTGCAATAAAGTGAAGCAAGTCAAATGAATTTTTTTGTTTCCCTGTGCACATAAAAGTTTAATTAAGTATGTAACAGCATTATGTCTAAAAAAATACAAAACTTAATTAAAAAATACTTTATTGCTGGGTTATTGGGTGGCTCAGTCAGTTAAGTGTCCAGCTTCAGCTCAGGTCATGATCTCACAGTTCATGAGTTCGAGCCCCATGTCGGGCTCTCTGCTGTCAGCACAAAGCCCGCTTCAGATCCTCTCTTCCCCTTCTATCTCTGCCCCTTCCCCGCTCTCTCAAAAATTAAAAAATAAATAAAAAATACTTTACTGCTAAAAAAATGTTAATCATTATTAACATTTCATTGAGCTGTAATAGTTTTGCTGGTGAAGGATCTTGCCCTGATGTTCATTGCTTCTGACTGATGAGGGTGGTGGTTGCAGAAGGATGGGTTGGCTGTGGCAATTTCTTTAAATAAGACACGGGGTGCCTGGGTGGCTCAGTCAATTAAGCATCTGACTTCAGCTCAGGTCATGATCTCATGGTTCGTGGGTTTGATCTCCGCACTGGGCTCTGTGCTGACAGCTCCAAGCCTAGAGCCTGCTTCAGATTCTATGTCTCCCTGTCTCTGTCCCTCCCCCACTCATACTCTGTCTCTCTCAAAAAAATAAATAAATAATACATTAAAAAAAAAGACGACAATGAAGTTTTGCTGCACTGGTGGACGCTTGGTTTCACAATTTCACAATTTCTCTGCACATGTGATGCTGTTTGATAGCATTTTACCCACAGCAGAACTTCTTTCAAAATTGGAGTCAATCTTCTCAAACCCTGCTGCTGTTTTATCAACTAAGTTTATGCAATATTCTAAATCCTTTGTTGTAATTTCAACAATGTTTACCAGGAATAGATTCAATCTCAAGAAATCAAAATCTTTTTGATTTTGTGCTCATCCACAAGATGCAACTCCTCATCCGTTCACGTTTTATCATGAGATTGCAGCACCTCAATCACATCTTCAGGCTCCACTTTTAATTCAAGTTCTCTTGCTCTTTCTGCCACATCTGCAGTTAACTTCCTCCCCTCAAGTCTTAAACCCCCCAAAGTCGTCCATGAGGGTTGGAATCAACTTCTTTCAAACTCCTGCTCATGTTGATATTTTGACCTCTTCTCATGAATCACAAAGTTCTTAATGGCATCTAGCATGGTGAATCCTTTCTAGAGGTTTGCAACTTACTTTGCCAAGATCCATCAGAGGAATCACTACCTATGGCAGCTCTAGCCTTATGAAATAGATTTCTTATGTGGAGAGACCTGAAAGTTGAAAGGACTCCTTGAACCATGGGCCACAGAATGGATACTGAGTTAGCAGGCATGAAAACAACATTAATCTCATTGTACATCTCCATCAGAACTCTTGGGTGATGAGGTGCATTGTAAATGATCAGTAGTATTTTGAAAGAAATCTTTTTTTTCTGAGCAGGTCTCAACAATGGGGATAAAATATTCAGTAAACCATGTTAGAAACAGACATCTGTCATCTAGGCTTTGTTCTTCAATTTAAAGAGCACAGGAAAACTAGATTTAGCATAATTCCTAAGGGCCCTAGGATTTTCAGAATGGTGAAGGAGCACTAGCTTCAACTTAGAGTCACCAGCTGCATTAGCCCCTTACAAGAGCCAGCCTGTCCTTTGAAGCCAGGTCCTGACTTCTCCTCTCTATCTATGAAAGTCCCAGATGGCATCTTCTTCCAGTATAAGGCTGTCCCATCTACACTGAAAATCTGTTGTTTAGTGTAGCCACCTTCATTAATGGTCTCAGTAGAGCTCCTGGGTGACCTGCTGCAGCTTCTACATCCTGTCGCTTCACCTTGCACTTTCATGTCATGGAGACAGCTTCTTTCCTTAAACCTCACAAACCCACCTCTGCTAGCTTCCAACCTTTCTTCTGCAGCTTCCTCACCTCTCTCAGCCTTCACAGAACTGAAGAGAGTTAGGGCCTTACTTTGGATTAGGTTTTGGCTTAAGGGAATGTCGTGGCTGATTTGATCTTCTATCCAGACCACTCAGACTTTCTCCATATCAGCAATGTGGTCAGCAATCACTTTGTTATCATTCTGTATATTCACTAAAGAGCACTTTTAATTTCATTCAAGAACTTTTCCTTTGCTTTCATAACTGTGGCTGTTTGGTGCAAGAGGCCTACCTTTTGATCTGTCCTGGCTTTCAACACATCTTCCTTACTAAGCCTAGTCATTTCTAGCTTTTGATTTAAAGAAGGGACATGCAACTCTTCCTCTTACTTGAATACTCAGAGGCCATTGTAGGATTATTAATTGGCATAATTTCAATGTGGTATGCCTGTACAGAGGTAGGACAACTCCCCAAACCCCAGACACCCCAAGTTTAGTTTATAATCCAAAGTTCTTGTTTGCTTACAAAATCCTGACCCCTGAAAATAAGAGTCCCTCACCTCTGAGATAAACCCAAATCTGGGACATGATGCCCATTGGGGTCCCACTTTCTGGGCCCAGACCAGCTGTCAAACTGGAGAGGGCACTGGAAGAGCCATCAGAAGAGCACAGTGTTGGGACCTGGGGACTCCCTGGCCATATGGAGATCAGCTAAGCCTTGGGGCCTCCAGCTCTTCCCTCCTCTACCAAAGGCAAAGTAAAATAAAGCTACTCAAAGAAGTGACAAACACAGAAAACAAATGCCCAGGCTGGGGAGGAGTGGGTGGTGGGGCTGGAGTCTGATGAGCCCATTACTCTCTGAGGGCAAAGTATGAATAACAATTAAATGAGACACTGCATGCGCAATGAGGAACAGTGAATGAAACTGGACCTCAACATTTTTTGAAGCTTCAATGGCTACAAATGGAGAGGAAAGGTCATTTTTTAGCAAGAATTATTTCCTCTAGGGGCGCCTGGGTGGCTCAGTCGGTTGTGTCCAACTCTTGGTTTTGGCTCAGGTCATGATGTCATGTTTCATGAGTTTAAGCCCCCGTCGGGCTCTGTGCTGACAGTGTGGAGCCTACCTAGGATTCTCTCCCTCTCTCTCTTCCCCTCCCCAACTTGCTCTGTCTCTCAAAATAAATAAATAATTAAAAAAAATTATTTCCCCTAGACCAGTGGTTCTTAATAAAGATGGGGAGATATTTTTCCTGTCCTCCTCACCCCAAGCCTCCATCCCAACCTCTAGCATCTGCCAAATTTCTCAAAACATGTTTTGGTTGTCACAAGGTGGGTGTGGGTGAGAAGTGTGTTAATAACATCTACTGTTTGGGAACAACACTCTTAAACTGAAAAAGAAAGAAAAGATTCTTTTCTGGAATGGGACAAGAGCTAAGATAAAGAGTAGCTTCACTACCTTAAGTGTGAAGTTAAAAGATACCCTTCATGGAAAAACTGGTTTTCTCCATGGTGCCTCCTTCAGGGCAAGCTTTTCCTCTCTGAGGCCTGAACTGTAGGGCCTGAGGTGGACTCCTGAGGTGAGGGAATGAATGCCCTACTGAGGTGAGGGAGGATGAGGCAGCCCCTCAACATGCAGTGGCTGTGGGGAGGGGGTGTTGAACATGTGGGGGAAGGTCGGCAAGGAAGGTGGCAGGGAAGAGCCTGCTTAGGGACAGGTAATGACCAGAAGGGAAGTGGAGCTGGGGAGTCTTCCAAAATACTAGGAGGGGAACCTAGATGTTCAGGGATGGAGCAAGACAGAGCTTGGCCTGCCTCAGACTGTGGCCACACTCTTGCTGCAGACCCAACCCCTACCCCACCTCAAGCCCAGATCCCCTTAGAGGGTGGGGATGAGGTGCGGGGACTGCTGCGGAGGGATCATTATAAGACTCATGATCATCACATGCTAGAATCCCCACTGCCCCCAGAAACTGGGCCATTAACTCCAAACAGGACAACAATGGGTCAGTCAAGTCTACAGAAATTGAACAGGTCAGGCTTGTGAACTCAGGGGAAGCAGTCCCCGAGTCAGCATTTGCCTTCCCTCAGAACTTGAGGGAACCAGATGTGGCAGAGGACAACCACAACCTAGAGCTGAAAAGAAGGCGTTAGGCAAGTAGGCAGCACACATGATTAGCCCCTGGGCCCCTCACCCCTACCCCAATCCCAGAATTCAGGCAGCCAGGGGTACTCTGACCAGGCTGCGGAACAGCTTCTCTGGAGAAGCTGACATCTGGGGCCAGGTCATCCAAAAGCCAATCCCAGCAATTACAAGGTCAAGGAGCCAGGTGCTTCCCTTCTGGTCATTACCTGTCCCTCCTCCCTGCCACCTTCCTTGCCCACCTCCCCCAATATCCAAAAGCCAATCCCACCAATTAGAAGGCTAAGAACTGGCTCTTAAATATGACCAGACAGTCAGGGACCATCAGGCATTTGAGGAAAGCCCCCACCAGAAGATTCTCCCATTACATAGAAAAAGGGAACCTGGAAAAAATGGAGATTATACAGGAAAATAATAAAGCATTTAAAAGAGAAACATATTCTGTGATAAAAATAACAACAAATACTTACTAGAGTGCTCACTATATGCCAGGCCCTGTCCTAAGGACTCTCATACTCCAAGTATAGATATAAAGAACAGAATGCACCCAGAAACCAAGAATAAGATGTTGTAGGGAAAAAAAGAACATTCAGAAAACAATGAGTCTGAGAAAATTAATCATATGATCTCAGAAAAAAAGAAAATAGAAGGATCTCTTCTAACTCAATAGAAGGATTTAATGATAAGGTTGAGGAAATCACCCCCAAACTAAGAGAAAACAAAAAGAGAAAGAAATGCAAAACTGAGCAGAAGGTAGGAGGCTTAGAAGAAGCCTAGCCCAGGAAGTCCAATGTTTGACTTAAAGAAAGCCTGAGAAAGGGAGACAAAACATGGAGGGGTTGTGCTAGACAATGTCCTAGAACCAAAAGGCAGTCTCCAAATTATTTTTAAAAATACCTACATTTCAGCACATTATCATGAAATTTCAGATTTGCAAGGATAAAAGAGACGATTCTAAACATTTCTGGGGAAGGAAAAATGATCACGTGCAAAGTTAGAAAAAATTAGGGTTCCTGTGGCTATAGCAGATGCTAGAAAACAGGGATGCAATGCCTTCAAAATTCTGAGGGGGGAGAATTACATTGATGTAACTCCTTCCTAGGAAGTTTCTAAAGCATATGCTCTGATAAAATGAGGGAGGGTACCAGAGAAAAAGCCAGGTCAAAGAAACAAGAGAGAAGTAAAGAAGTAAAGAAGAGAGAAGTTCCAGGAGATGGCTGGGAGATGGCCAGTAGACACAACTATCCTCCAGGGGACAGGTTTCCAGAAAAAACGTTATAAAGAGTTCAGGATAAATGTACAGTAAATTGGGCCAATGAAAAGACAAGGTAGGGGTACCTGAATGTCTCACCCAGTGGAGCATATGACTCTTGATCTCAGGGTTGTGAGTTTGAGCCCCATATAGGGTGTAGAGATTATTTAAAAATAAAAATAAAAAATCTTAAAAAGAAAGACAATTAACTCCAAAAAAGAAATGTAATCTTACAACTCATCTCTGTGATGAGCATTAGTTACCTAATTATAATAATGTAAATACTATAAATTTTTCCAGACACTGTAATATAAAGATAAGAGAAAGGATGAGGGAAGGGGAAGGGAGGTAGAGCAGGGGTGTAAGAAAGCTAAATTCTTGTCTACCAATAAATGTTTAAAAGTAAAAGGTAAAAAAATTAAAAACGAAAAGGAAAAAAAGAATTTTATGGAGTATAAATTCTTAGTGTTTTTAAAAAGTAGAAAAAAATGACAAAGAGCAATATAAGCCTATTATTTAGAAATAAGGCAGCAAACACTAGAAGAAATGGCTAAAAGACTTGAGTAAAAGCAACTCAAATCTTTGGTACTCTGGGGAAAAATGAAGAAAAGCGGCTGTGTTACAGCTGACAGGGGAAAAACCCTGAGTGGATTCAGTGGGAACAAGAAATCAAACTGGGAAAGGCCATAAGAACCCAAAAGTAAGGAAGTCACAGTGACCTTGGGGAGGACTGGGCTGCTCAGGGCTGTAGAATGGGGAGCCCGAGCCCCTATTTTTATGGGACTCCCAGGGTTCATGGTGACCCAGAAGGCTGAAGAGATTCAGTTACATGGGGTTCCTCTTACATAAGACCTCTGGTTCTCCATGACCAGACACTACACGTAGGCTCCCATGTATGTGCACATGCGTGTGCACACACACACACACCCGCCCCCACCCCCAATCTGGGCTTAAGCCTCACCTGGGCTTGAGGTAGCTGAGTGCTTCTGAGAACTGGTTGGTGAGGAAGAGGTCCAGGGCAGTCATACACTGGTCGAGGGCCTCATGGAGGCTGCTCACAGGAGTCCTGCTGGGAGAGACATGGAAGTGACCAAGAGCCCTCAACCCCTGTCCAGGCTAGAACAAAGCCCCACAGGGCCCATGCAACCTCCCTGCCAGCCTTGGATGCCTGTCAAAAGCTCCTCCAGGGGAGGAGACACAAAGACACAAAGACAATTTGGACATACCTCTAAGTGTTCCTAAAGGTGGGAGAAAAGAAGAATGGGGGTGTCATCTGAGATCTGGTGGAGGGGTTTGGGGAGGAGCAGAGGATGGAGAGCAAGGAAGCCTCAGGAACAAATTTATCTTACCCCTCACAAGGTTAAAGGGAGTCTTTATGGCCCTTCTGACCCATCAAGCTTTTCTGCCCCGCTCCCCAGGGGGGCACAGCCCACCCTCTAAATCCCACTTCAGTCCTTTTCCTCTTCCTCCTTCTCCAGGACTTCTCCTGCCCATCTTGAGCCTGCACTCTAGAACTCCAGAGACACTGTCACAATGGGCTGTGGTGTGCAGGCCTCTCAAAGGCCACCTTCCCTGTACCTGACCCTCTTCCAGCCCTTACATTTCTCTATAGCTTTTATCACTCTCTGACATACACATATATATTTCTTTCTTTCTTTCTTTTTTATTTTATTTTATTTTATTTTGTCTGTCTCCCTCCACTAAAAATAAGCTTCCTGAGGGCAGGATTCCTTCTTCTGTTCAGTGCTGTATCCCCAGAATCTAGCATCTGGTACAAAGTGGGCTTTTGATAAGTATCTGTTAAGTGAATGAAAACTGATTGAATGAAGTCTCAGGCTGGAACAAATCCCTGAGCTGTCTGGGTCTCGGCTTCCCCAACTGAAAAATGAGAGATTAAACTATGAAATCCCCAGAGTCCTATCTTGAGGATGTCTCTTCTCAAGGAGTCTCTTCTGAGTGAGAGAAGGTTCCAAAAGGGGCCTTGATGACCTCATTGAAAGGAGATCCTTTCCCCTCAAAGTTAGTTAAGAGAGTCCCTTTCCACCTGGTAAACATCTACACATAACTTTCCCAGTTCCAATGTCTCTTCCTCTCTGATGCAGCAGCAGATCTTCCTGGCAAATTGAAACAAATTGAAACATGTACCTTGTTCAAAATTGAACTCTTGTTCATTCTCTCAAGCCTGTTCTCCCCCAGTCTTTGCCATCTTAATAAATGACATCCCTCTACCCAGTTTCTCAAGCCAGAAATCTGACAGTCAGCCTTGATACGTCTACCCCATCACTAAGCCCTATCAGTTCCGCCTCTGGAAAATCTCTTAGCCCAGCCCCTTCTGTGCCCAGTGAAGGCCACCGGCACCTTCACCCAGGGCTGATGGAAGACTGGCCCTTCCACTCTCACTCCTCCTGCCCCTGTTCTTTCTCCGTTAAATCGTTCTGCTCAGTATTGCAGGTCTCTCAACTCTCTTCTTTGCAATCTCTTTGAATCTGTTACAGTCTGAGTGATTTCTTCAGATCTTTCATTTCACTAATTCTCCACAAGGCATGTGTGATTTGCTATCTTTCCTGTCTACTGAGTTTTTAATTTCAATGATTATATTTTACATTTCCAGAAATTCCATTTGCTTCCTTTTCAAATCTGCTTGGTCGTTTTGGGCAGTATTTTGTTCCCTGCTTATTATTTCAAGTCCATCTTGACTCCTTTACATGTTTTAAAAACATTTATATTCTAGATCTCATAATTCTAGCATCTTTAGACTCTCAGTGAAACAAATTCTGTTGTTTCTTGCTTTTGGTGTCTACTACTCACAATGACTTGTTTCCTTGTGTGTTTTGTAATTTAACCATGAGTTCCTATTTGGCTGATCCCAAAGGGATCTTAGGAGAAGGATCTATTCCTCCAGAGAGGATTTTCATTTACTTTGGCCAGATTCCCTGGGCTGCTACCATATCCTATGATACTTAAGTTACTTTTTTAGGTTAGTATTTCTAGGACCACAAAAGGAATAGGTTTTCAAACCCAAAATTTGTGTGAGGGCAGATTAAAATTTATAAGTTTCTAGGGAGCCTTTTTTCTCCACTAGACCTGTCGTCCCCCTTTATGAAAGGGTGTCTACCTCTTTCTGGTCAATATTCCTATTTGCTGGGGGGATAGCTCTTTGGAGGTCCCAGATTCATGTGGTGGTATAAGGGGGACAAGTTTCAACTCCTCACACTATCACTGGGCTGGCCCATCCTTTGAATGGTCATTAAAACTCCAGGCTCTACCAACTTCAGCTCAGGTCATGATCTCGCAGTCCAGGAGTTCAAGCCCCACATCTGGCTCTGTGCTAACAGCTCAGAGCCTGGAGCCTGCTTTGTATTCTGTGTCTCCCTCTCTCTCTGCCCCTCCCCACTCGTGCCCTGTATCTTCCTCTCTCAAAAGAAATACATGTTTTTTTTTTTTTAATTAAAAACAAAAACAAAAACAAAAACAAAAACGAAGTCCTCCAGATTTTAGACTTCTGGAATTTATAAATATCTTCACATTGCTATGGCTTCATCTCATTTATCAGCATGATTTCAGTTTTTTATTCTTGGCTTGAGAAGATTTGTTACTTTGTGGAAACTCAGGAATGTATTTTAAAGCATGTTTGGAATAACCCATCCAGCCTCTAGGTAGTTTTTATAAGGGAGAATATTGGAAGCATTATTGCCTCTAACCCATCCCTCTCATAACAGCCAAAGTTCTCTTTTTAAAACCTGAATCTGACCATGTCACTTCTGAACTTGAAATCCTTCACTGGCTTCCCATTCTCTTAGGTAAAGACCAAGTTTCTTTCCATGGCCAAAAAAGCCCCATCAGAAACAGCCCCTGCCCCTCTCTTCATGAGAAGGGCACAGTGTCTTCCTTTGTGCCCAGGGCTTAGCCTAGTGACTGGTGTTCAGTCTGCCTATTCTGTGAGCACTTACTGCCCTGGGTGTTTAACTGGCATTCTCTCCTTGAGTCTTCACAAAGCCTGTGAAGTAGGATTATTATCCCCACTGTAGATGAGGCACCGAGGAGAGGTGACTAGGCCAAGATCACATGCCCAAGCATGGGTCCTAAACAAGTTTCTGCCTGAGCCAGTGCCCTTCAGCTCAGCCCCAGGAAGACAAGTCTGTTGTCCTGGCTTATGACTATCTCTAAACAATTCCAGAGCCAAGAGCCTACCTCCCATTTCTGTATAAACACCACCACCACTACCACCACCACATTCGCCTCCCATCAAGAAAGAGGTTCTGGGGGCACCTGGGTGGCTCAGTCCGTTAAGCATCCGACTTCGGCTCAGGTCATGATCTTGCAGTTCATGAGTTCGAGCCCCACGTCAGGCTCTGTGCTGACAGCTCGAAGCCTGGAGCCTGCTTTGGATTCTGTGTCTCCCTCTCTCTCTGCCCCTCCCCCGCTCATGCTCTGTCTCTCTCTCTCTGCTCTCAAAAATAAATAAACATTAAAAATTTTTTAAAAAAGAAAAAAAGAAAGAGGTTCTGCCTGCTTGGTCCACATGGAAAGAAAGATGCACAGACAGATGGACATAGAGCACAGAGGTGAATTCCCTCCCTTGGCAACCCTAGCACCTCCTCTGCTGAACCATAGTGAGGTGATTCTGAGATGACTCTCCAGACTGGGAGCTGCTTTGGGGTGGCCCTGGGGCTGATTTTCGCCTTCCTTTTCTCCCACAAATACCCTCTGGTTCTGGCCCAGCCCTGGCCCTGCCCTTGAAGACTTCACGGTCTAGCAGAGAGACAGAGGCAGACAGAGGCATTGACAGCCAGAATCATCAAGGCTGCATCATGGGAATCACTGAAGGCTAAGGATGCCCAGAAGTGGAAGGGGAGCACTCAACAGAAGCTTTCTGGAAAAGATGGCACTGAACTGAGGACCAGATGGAGAAAGAAGTCCAGGAAAGGGAAAAAGCCGAGCAAGGAGCTAGTCATGATACCACAGTGACAAGGAGGCACAAGCTATAGGGGCAAGGTGGCAAGACAGGCTCTAGAAAGCCTCCTCTGGAGGGGTGAGGCAGGGGTGTCCTGGCTGGCTGGGGAGCTCAGGAAGGCTGGGGACACTGACCCCATTTGACTTAATGACTGCATTAATTCACCACCACTGAGAATATCACTCCAAGTTCTCAATCCTCCCACCAGCCCAGAGGCAGGCATGCTTATCTGCATTTGACAGATAAGGAGATAAAGACAGTGAGGGCAGGGGCCTAGTCTCCTCCACCCAGGAACCTAGGAGAAGGCAGAAATGCTTTCCATAAAAGCAAACTGGCCAAAAACATTTTTCTTCCCCTGGCTGTGACTGAGGCCCCCACTCCTCTGCAGGCTGTCCCCATGTCTTCAAGACCTCTATGCTCCAAGTCACCTTGCCAGCCCAGATTAACACATTACTGAGCTTCTGAGGGGTTGATGGTGGCCTTTCCACTGTGCCTTGGAGAACCTGAGGCATGGAGGTGGGGAGGGGGATACTGAGCTAGATGGAGCATAGAGCAGGGCTGGTAACCGATGCCAGGAGCTTTGGCATCACAGGGGAGGGAGGTTTGAGGCCGGAGTGAGAAGGGAGGTGGAGTAGGGGAAGGGGTGTCAGACAGCCTGAAGTCACCCCATTCTCCCTTTTTTTAGCAGATTTAAAAAATTTTTTTTTATTTTTTATTTATTTATTTTTGAGACAGAGAGAGACATAGCATGAGCAGGGGAGGGGCAGAGAGAGAGGGAGACACAGAATCTGAAGCAGGCTCCAGGCTCTGAGCTGTCAGCACAGAGCCCGACGCAGGGCTCAAACTCACAGACCGTGAGATCATGACCTGAGCCAAAGTCAGACGCTTAACCGACTGAGCCACCCAGGCACCCCACCCCATTCTCCCTTTGCCTCCCCCTCCCCACTTTAGTCTGCCTGGAAGCTGCTACCCTGACATCTGATGGGCAGAGCTGGATGGAGCAGAGGAACCTCTCATTCCCCACGGGGGCAGTAGAGGCAGTGCAAGGAAGTCACTTAGGGAGCAGAATGGAACCACAGCTGGCTTTTCCTCCCTGCTTCACCATTCAAGGGGAACTGTGGCTGAGGGGAGCAGGGGGATAATCTGTGCATGGGGACCTATCGCTTCCAAAGTGACCTTTCTTCTTTTAAATTTTTTTAGAGAGCACAAGCTGGGTGGGGAGCCAGAGGAAAGGGACAGATGGAAGGAGGGAGGGAGAGGGGGAGGGA